AGGGCAGGCAGGGCTTCCAGAACAGTCTGTCCCCTGCACTCACCCCTTTGTTTTCCTGTGGACACCCCCCCCCATGTGAAGCTGGTTTAGTGTGTGCAGGAGCCACGCCCCATCTCCCCCTGTGCTGAGTCAGGTCCCCTAGGAGCTCTTTGCATCCTTCTGATGTGCTTGCAGATCCAGCGAGGTTGTTTATCTGCGCAGTTGAGTGGTGATTTTTTTTTCCCCTCTGAGGATTTCAGTCCCATTAGACTTCAGAACAGAGAGGCAGGCCTCGCTGACCCGGCCCTTAGGGATGCTAAGGAGAGCCAGAGAAACATCTGTTGTCATTCAGGGCTTTGGAGAAAATGTCAGTGGCTTCCTGGATTCTCATCTGTTTCCCCAGGCCAAGCCAGTGATTCAGAAGGAAGAGGAAGCCCTATGTGTTGATGCCTCCTATTCCAGTTTACTAATCAGTAGCTTGTCAGGTACGGTGGGTGGCGCAGGCCTTTAATCCCAGCACTCCAGAAGCAGGAGAACTCTAGTTTCAGACTAGCTTGGTTTATGTATCTAGTGTCCGGCCAACCAGGGCCATATAGTGAGACCTTATCTCAAAAGTAAGGGAGTAGGTTGAAGATGCAACCCATCTTGATTATGAGAGAGAGAGAGAGAGAGAGAGAGAGAGAGAGAGAGAGAGAGAGAGATAACTCCAGTGCTTGCCTGGGTGTCGTGGTGCAGGCCTGTGATCCAAGCCTGGGAGGTGGAGGCAGGAGGATCAGAAGTTCAGGGTCATCCTTAGCTGCATAGTTAAGACAGAAGCCAATCAGGGAGACATGAGACCCTGTCTGAAAAGTACAATGGAGAAATGCAGAAAAATACAACCCCCCAAAAAATCACCTACAATCACACTGGTCTAAAGATAATGACCTTTAATGTTTTGTAATTGTTTTACCAGTCTTGCGTGTGTGTGTGTGTGTGTGTGTGTGTGTGTGTGTGTGTGTGTGTGTAGTGTAAATTCAGATGATCATGAGAACATTTACATCCTGTTAAATTTAACTTCATTTTCATTGTTGCTAAGTATCATTTGAAGTAAATCTTTAGTGGTCCTGTAATAGTCCCCATCAGATGAACATGCAGTGGACCCTCTTACAAGCCCAGGAGGCTCCATCCTCGATTGCATGGATCCCTGAAGTGGTGATGAATACCAAGTCCTGTGGAAGCCTTGTTTTATTTTCTGAACATACACGCTTGTGATAGTTTAATTAATAAACTGGGCACAGCAAAAGATTAATAAGAGCAAACCAGCAATTAGAACAATATACTGTAGTGAAAGCTACTTAGAGCATATAAATTGATTACTCTGGAATTTTCCTCTTCATGTTTTTGGGCCACGGTTGACCACTGATAACTAACCACAGGAAGGGGAATTGCAGATAAGGGGGCGCGGGAGGGGTGTTCCTGTGCCAGAGAAAAGAGTCAGAAATTTCAGTCATTTTTACTTTTCTGATAGCAAATGACTACAGCACATATTTTTGTATGAATTTATTTTTCTTAGATAAAATACCAAGGAGTAGCACTTCCGGATCAAAAGGTCTGAGTCGTTGTGTAGCTTTGAGGTTTTCCTGTTTTGGGTATTGTAAGTGTAGTTCACATGCGCGCGCACGTGCGCGCGCGCACGCGCACGCACACACCCCAACATCAGACACCCGCATCTTCCAGCCCTCCTTCGGTGCTGTTTGGAGACTCTGCTAGTCTGAGAAGCGTTTACTCCTTTCTTCCTAATTCTGTCTCACCAGGTCCTTTGTTCAGGACAAAGAATTGGGCAGTTTCAATCCTCCTTCCTGAAGTCAAGTAGTGCGGGACCTGGGAGTGGGAAGGTACTGGGTGAAATGCCTCCTTTCCCTCCTGAGCCTGGCCCACCCCAGGGAGCATGCGTGTACAGAGTCCCCATCGCAAAACGTGCTACCCAGACAGGATTAGAGCGCAGTTTAGGGTTCTGGGATTTTGATTTATAGCTGTGATGGTTAATTGTGAATGACAGAATCTACAGTCACCTGGGAGAGGCACCTCTGGGCAAGTTATCTTGATTTTGTTAAATTGGGGTGTGAAGACAAAGCCATTGTGGGTGGCACTGTTTCTGAACTGTGTAAGTGGAGAAAAGACCCGGGCAGTAGCATTCCTTGCTCCCTGCTCCCAGACTGCTCAACAGCTTCAAGCTCCTCCCACCGTGACTTCATCATACTGAGCTGTGAGCCAGGATAGACTGTCTCTTGAGTGGTTTTGCCAGGGTGCCTGTCACCTGAGCTGAGATAATAGCCTAGCATACAGACCAGAAACAGAACACCCAGACTTAAGGGGCACTGTGAGTTTCATCACGTTTTTACGCACCCCCCTCCTGCACATGGAACCCAAGGCCTCAAGCCTGCTAAACTCTACCACCGAGGCATACCCCTAATCTAGATGCCTGTGAGCAAGAGAATTCAGTCTCTGGAAGGAATATTGAGAACTCCTGGGTCCAGTGGGTATGTGTTTAAGATAGGACAGATAGCCAGCCCTCAGAGAGGGGAGTGGTTGCTGTCCATTTTGTCCTCTTTGAGGACCTTACGGTCTTATAGACCCAACCTGGCTAAGACTTTGCCCTAGATCTCATGGCGAGTTGACCTGTGAAGCTGTGTCCCCTTAAACTGAGTTAGTTCTCTTATATAGACTGTTGGTTCTAAGGCCCAGTATCCAGGAAGCAGAACCACGCCCCTGAAGCCCTGGGCTCAGCTGAGCTTCCAGAATTCCAGGTATTAGGGCAGTAGACCACATCCACCTAGGATATGCTCTGTGTAGCCTAGGTAAAAGGACACTTCTCTTCTAGCCTAGGGGATGCCTGGGCTGAATTAAGCTCCCTTCCCCATGGTTCCTTCCCTGGGATGGCCTGCCTTGATTCCACCATAAGTCCCTTGGCAGTATTGAGGCAAGGTCATGTTATGTTCATATTCTTGAACACGTACCTCTTTCCAGAATGTTCTGCCTCTTTCAGTCTCAGCTCAGGTACCTTTCTGCCCCAGATCCTGTCCCTCTCAGTCCTCAGGACCCAAGATCGTCCAGTTCTAAGAGTGACACATTGTTTCCTCTGAATTTGGATAGTGCGGGGCTCTCAATACCTCCTTCGAGATTCTGCAACTGGGTTTCCATCCCCAGTGTCTGGGAGAACAGAGAGGTCGCTTCTGGGGGCTCTGGGCTTCTTCGCTTTGCAAATCCTGTGAAGGCAGAGGGTACCTTTGGAATAGGCCCATCAGGGGGGTAAACAAAAGCATTCCGTGTATCATCTCTGTAATGGCAGGTTGAGCGGAAGTCCTTGTGGGAATTATCCAGACCACCCAGAGCCAGGATGGCTGTCTTTAGAATAGCAGCTACAGGCCCCGCCTTCATGGAAGGACCCCATCTGTTCACTTGAAGACCACATGAATTCCAAGAGTGACTTATCTGGAAACAAGTTTTCAGCCGAGATCAGGCCTGCTCCTAGCTCAGTGGCACAGATCTCAACTCTGAGGCGACATTGCTGGTAGTGGCAGTGCCCGTCCAGACATGGGCACAGTCACATCCTCCCAGAGGTTGTGCCTGGACCCAAAATGTGGGGACCTGGAGTCACTGGGTCTCACAGGGTGCTGCTGTATCAGAATCCATTGAGAACCATGCAGAAGTCGGGCGGGGGCAGGCTCCCTCTCCCTCAATTCCTCAGTGCGGGTACTTCCGGGGGTCATGTCCCCCTACTGGCTGAGCAGCTCCTGGGACTTGGCTGCCATTTTTGAACTTAAGACTCTAATCTACATATACCCCACACTTATGAACCCCTAGATGGTGTTGTATTTTCAACCCACAGACACTATGGGTTTCTGAATCACATGTGGTCTTCCTTGGTAACAGCCCATTTCCTCATCTTAGTCTAGCCTGGCCAATATCTTAAGTTCTATCCTCTATACTGCTCCCCATTATAAGCGCCTCCTACCAGGCATGTGTAGCCAGAGGTTTCTCTCCTGCCTGCAAGTTCCTAAAAAATCACTCCGGGGGTTAATATTACTTATAAATGCTTGTTCAATAGCTCAGGCTTGTTGCTAGCTAACTCTTACATTTAAATTAACCCATATTTCTTATCTATGCTTTGCCACATGGCTCATGGCTTGTTATTTCATTTTTTGCATGCCCTGCTTCCTTGGCGACTAGCTGGCGTCTCCCTCACCCCACCTAACTTTATCCTGCCTTACTATAGGCCAATCAGCTTCTTTATTTACCAATGAGAGTAATACATATTCACAGTATACAGAAGGATTACTCCACAGCAGGCATGTCTTCCCTTCAGGCTGCCTTCCCCATCAGGCCCCTTTCCCCCATCAGAGCATCTTCCCCCGTCAGGATACTCCCTCCTGGCCTCGTCCTTCCCCTCACAGTAACCAGCTAGATGGACACTTGTTAATACCCAACTTTCCTTGAGATGACATGGGCCTCCTTGGTGTGGCCATAGCCTGATCCGCCCATGTCCCACTGGCAAGAGTTTACCTCCAACATGAATCCTCTCTAGGAAGCATGAAAGCCTGCTTCTGAGGTACAGTCTCTACATCATCTTGATAATAAGTCATTTGTCATATTGGATGATCTCCTTTGTTTGTTTTTATAGGACGTGAGTGAGTGTTTCCTATTCAAGTTTAGAGCCCCAGAGCCAAGCACAGCAGATTTCCCACAGCCGTTTACAGAAGGAACAAATGTTGACAGCACAGAATGACTTGGACTTTTCTGATTGGACATTTTGCTCCATGTGATAGGAGTCTACTCCAGCCAGACTCAAAACAAGGCTGCTGGGGCCTCTTGCTGGCTTTTGGAGCTCCTGTACTCAGCTTTTGTTTGACATGTCTCTCTAGGAGCTTGTTAGAGGCAAGACCCGTGCCCGGTGTTCAAGCTACCCAGCCTCCCTGCTAGCACCTGGCCACTGCCTTTGCCTGTCAGGGAAGTGGAACAAGGTCCCTGTGCTTATTTTCCAGGTGCTTCTGAGGCAGGAACATGCTCACATTCATGGCTTCTGACAGTGAGGAAGAGGTCTGCGATGAGCGGACATCCTTGATGTCCGCCGAGAGCCCCACGTCACGCTCCTGCCAGGAGGGCAGGCCGGGCCCAGAGGATGGAGAAAACACTGCCCAGTGGGTAGGTCCCACCAGCAATTGTTGGCCTGTCCAGTGTGGCTGTGTTGGTTCCTGTCCTTGGGAAGAGCAAGGGATCTTTGGTGTACCCTTCTGTGGCTATGCAGGCTGGCTCTACACCTTCTCCCCCACTGTCCTAAACTTTTTATATGTCCCGAGATCCAAGTTGGAGTTCACACTTCTCATGTCCAGAAAGCAGCATTTAGCCTTCTCAGCACTGCTTCCAGAAGCCCCTGCAGGAGCAGCTCACCACGGGGGCCTCTGTGGCCCTCACTGTTTGGTTTCCCGCAGAGGAGCCAGGACAGCGAGGAGGACTGTGAGGAAGATCCAGACCGCTATGCCTGCAGTGGGGTTCCTGGGCGGCCGTCGGGCCTGGAGGAAGAGCTGACCCTCAAGTACGGGGCGAAGCATGTCATCATGCTGTTTGTGCCTGTCACGCTGTGCATGGTCGTCGTGGTGGCCACCATCAAGTCCGTGCGCTTCTACACAGAGAAGAATGGGCAGCTGTGAGTTGGGGTCCGGTTGGCATTGGGGGGCTGGGGTGGTGATTGATTTTAGGGGATCATAGGCTCCCTCAGCTACTGTTCCCGTAGCTCTTTGCTACATGGAGAGCAGTGATGAAGACTCTGGGCTCACATCCTGACTCACTGCCTCCTGTCATGTGACTTGTCTGGACACATCTGACCTATGGGCCTCCATTTCCTTGTTTGTTTAATTATGTTTAATTATCACGGGTTTAATTATGGGGAGGCCCGGAGAATTGGAGAATTAAGCGGGCTAATCCGCATGAAAGGTCTCGCAGTGTTCACAGAAGGCTGAGGGGAATCTGGATACAGGCCGGCGCTGGTACCATAGCACTGAGCTTCGTGTACTAAGGACCTGGTCCTGGTCCACTGTGTCTCAAGCACCATGTGACCAGAGATGAGTCGTGTCCTGTCTGGGTCACTGCTTCCTTAGATGCAAAATGACAGGGTTGGGCCTCATGATTCCTTAGCACACTTCCAGCAGACAAGGAGGACTCACCGGGCCCTTCTGTTACTTTAATAAGTATGACAGAGAACTGAGAGCCCCCTAACCTCAGCCCTCTCCTCTCCCCTCTCCTCACCCCTCCCTGGCTCCTCACCTCTGAGCACATCCTCAATGTCATTGCCTTTCCAGACTTACCATTCACTCTGGATTTGAGTCCTTTTTATTTTTTAGAAGAGAAGAAGTAGGAATGTTCCTAAGGAGCTTGTAGCCTGTGGGGGACTCATAGTAGCTGGATGGCTTAGAGAGGACAGGGCCAGCATAGCTCCTGGCAGACCAGCTGAAAAGAGCAAGGGGCCTGTGAGTTGACTCCGGAGCAGAGCAGTACCTGTGACTGCAGTTGGGAGCGGGGCAGAGGGTGTGGGAGTCTTAGGCTACAGAATGTCTATGGAGTGTATTGTTGGGTTCTCTAGGGGATCAGAACCAATGAGTGTGTATTATGGAAAAGGATATATTAGATCGGCTTATCCAATAATAGGTAGTCCAGCAATGGCTGTTTGTACATTAAAGAGGTGGAGAACCCCATAGCTGCTTAGACCATAAGGATGGATACCTCAGCATTCCAATTTGTTGCTGAATACCTGGAAGATGCTCAGAGAGCTGCTGGAAGTCCACACTGGAAGGCTGAGGTTCTGCTGTCTGTGAAGGGTAGCGACAGCAGGATGCACGCACTGGCAAGGAGCAGGGAAGGCAGCGGGCAAAGCAGCATGGCTTCCCTCCAACCTCTTTCCACCTGGGCTGCCAATGGAAGGAGCAGCCCAGCATGGAGAGTTCATATTACTCAGGAATGCCCTCATGGACCTGCCCAGAGGCAAAATTAATCATCCCATGAGAAAACAGGCAGCGAATCTTGTTGGTAGGGACGAGAGCTGGGGTCCTGGAATAGGAGAGTCAAGCAGAGGAGCCAGGTCTCAATGGGGCACAGTTTGTCCTTTCTGTCATGATGGTCCAGTTTTCAGGGTGCTACAAGTCACTGGCCCCTAGAGGCAGGGGACATCCATACAGAGAGCCATAGCTCCACCAGGGCCCAGCCAGTGCCGGGGTTCTAACTGAGGCTCTTCCGGTGACCTTTACAGGATCTACACACCCTTCACTGAGGACACGCCCTCAGTGGGCCAGCGTCTCCTCAACTCTGTGCTGAACACCCTCATCATGATCAGCGTCATCGTGGTCATGACCATCTTCCTGGTGGTCCTCTACAAGTATCGATGCTACAAGGTGAGGCCCGCAACCCTCTCTCCTCCCCCTCCGCCCTGCCCTCGCCTACCCCATCCCTGCTGTGATGTGGAAGGAGTTACTGCCACGTGGCACCTTTCTAAAACCCTACCCAGGTTCCTCCTTTCTGCAGAGCGGGCTGCTCTTTGGTGCTCTCTGACACTGTGGGAAGACCACCTAGTGCGGACTTGGAAACTGTGTGCCTCCCACCCCACCCACTGTCTTCATCGCCGTCTTCCTGACACACTCCCCTGCTCGGAAGTTAATTTTGTTCTTCTGAGGTTCTGCTTTAGTTCCCTCACCCCAAGGCTTTCTCTAGGTTTAATTTTCATCTTCCCATCTCCCTTTACGTAGGGGCGCTCATGTGCTCTGTGAAGGTCTCCTGGCCCCAGCAGCCTTTGGGTTGCATTCTTCTGTAGACCTTGAGCCTCCTCATGGAGTACTGGAAGAGTCACACCCATGTGACCCCAGTTATAGACAGCATCATTCCCAATGATGTCATGCTCCCTGCCCCAAGACCTACAATGGGGATTAAATTTTGGTCCTTGCATGCACTACTCAAATGTTATACCGCGAGATGTACCCTCAGTGCTTTTGTGTTGGAAGCGGGGAAGGAGCCTGCTGTGGTCAGGACAGCTTTCTCCTTTTATCACGTGGGTTCCAAGGATTACACTGAGGTCCACAGGCTTGGCAGCAAGCACCTTTACCCTCAGACCGCCTCTCCCACCCACTTTCTATAATGTATGTAGACAAGGTCTTGCTAAGGTGGCGAAGCAATCCTCTTCCCTCAGCTTCCCCAGCTAGACTGGCATTACAGACCTGGGCTACTGGGCCTAACTGTGCCATCAACTTCTAGACCCCGGATTTAGGCTGCAGGCTTTGAAACCAGAAGGATTAACAGGAAGTTGAGCCAGGCATTACCTATTCAGAACTGTCGCCACAGGCCTAGCATGGTCCTTTGTGCTCTGGCTCTGTGTTTTCGGAACAGGAAGAGAAGAGGAGGCCAAAGCTTAGATAGGCAGTAATAATTGCCCATGTAAATGAGGCAGGGCTTCCAGAAGTGCTATCAAGGAAGGAGGGGTGAAGGTGGTAGGAATGTGGGGGAGGGCTGATTAGTCATAGAAAACGTGACAACAAGCTAGAAATGGCATGGGCAGTGACCCTACTGTGGTCAGTATGTGTCATGTGGCCAGTCCCATAGAAGTGACTTGACCATCGCTTCAGTCAGGATCTTTGTTAAGTTTCAAGATGACATAGCCCGCTGGGGGAAAGACTGTAAGTAGGTTCCAGAGGCCACAACTTCTCCTCCCGTAAGGCTGGGTGTACAGTCTAACAGTGGCCCTTCCTCCAGGTAGACTGGGTCTCTGGAGACCTAGTGGGCTGAGTTGGTGACCAAGGGTCGTTCTTATATGTGAAGAGAGGCTGGGAGGAAGTGGCACCATCTCACCCTTGGTGGCTGAGTATTGTCTTTGACCCCTCAGTGCTCAGCTAGGAAGGGAGGGACTGCTCTCCTGAGGACCTGTCTGGAACTCCTTAGTGGGAAGGGACTTCCCTTCCGTCAAGAGGCTTGCCGTGGTCCCTCAGTCTAAGCAACAACCAGTTCGTCCCCTGACTCTTTGTCTGGATTGGCCCTCAGCTTACCCGCTGACTATTGTCTGTTTTTGTGATGCCCTTTGGTGGGAACTTTGTTGGCTGCCTCCAGGGAGTTAGGGTGCTATCTGGGGGTAAAGACGGCCAGCATGTTCTTTGCACGTGATAAGCGTGCAGAGGTGGGCCAGCACAGCCAGGGATCTCGCAGACTCTTAGGACTCTCATCTCCTCCAGACACTTGTAGTTGGCTAGGGAACTCCCTACGGGGCCTGGCCCTCCTTTCCTGTAATAGGCACAGCGACTTAACCGAGAAGCTTGTCCAGGCTCCGGTTCATGGTTTTGGAGATACTCTATAAATGTGTTACCAGAGTTAGCATTGGAACCTGTGCCTCTGGCAGCCCAGCAAGCCAGGCTTGGCTGCTTGTCATCCATAAGTCAGATTTAAATAGTCAAATCAATCGTAAAACAGCAGAAAAAGGAGATCTATTCAATGTGGCCCACATTCGGGGAGTGAGAGAAAGAGATCCAGTGCTCCCTGCCCCCCAAATCCAGTGACTCCCCATCAGGTCCATCTTCCAGTCCTAACACAAAGGTAGGGTTTAAATAGGAGATCTGTACAAGATCTGCATAGCCAAACAGTCAAGGCCTGGGCCTGCTGGTTATTGTCTGGGCTTCACTTTTATCCCGAAGCACTGTCAGAGTGTGTAAAGTCTCTCCTGGAGGCCAGGTCCTCTGGCTAGCACCAAGCTTCCTTGTTTTCCTTTTGAAAGCATGAAATTCCAGGGAAATTTTAATTCCTTGGGGTCCATTTTTTTTGGCGGGGGGAGGGGGTTTGTTTGTTTGTTTTCTGAAACAGGGTTTCTCTGTGTAGCCCTGGCTGTCCTGGAACTAGCTTTGTAGACCAGGCTGGCCTCGAATTTGGAGATCCACCTATGTCTGCCTCTCAAGTGCTGGGTTTAAAGGCGTGTGTCACCACAACCCAGTGCCACCTCTGGTAGTCAAACAGAAGGAAGGACAGGTGAAAGTATCTTCATCCCGCTAATGGCCCTCATGTTTCTGTTGTCAGTTCATCCATGGCTGGCTGATCATGTCCTCTCTGATGCTCCTGTTTTTGTTCACCTACATCTACCTAGGGTGAGTGCCGGCTGGTGAGCAGCCGCTCCCTGCAGCACAGCTGGATAAGAGGGACCTGGGCAGGGAAAGGTGGTCACCCTTAGTGTCAGCTGCTCCAGGACCCAGGCCTTCGGGCTCTGGCACAGGAGTGGGGTCCGGGTAGGTCTCAGGTTTCTTTCTGACTCCTGATTTAAAATGAGCAAAGCAAGCATGGTAAAGCCTTCTCGGAACATTCAGCAGGTGGGAACCTCTTCAAGTTATCTTCCGCTTGGGGATGGGGTCTGGCTGCGTCTGGGGACTTCCTAGTTCATCTGCCCTTTGCTCTTTGACTTTGGATATCAGCCTAACCCAGAGGCTCAAAGAAAAACACTTTTTCAAGGATCCCATCTTTGCACAGGGCTTTCCAGATGGGTCCATAACCTGGCTGTGTGACCCACACCCCAGCCATTGATCCACTCCCTACCGCATTTCTGAAAGTGCTGAGTGGCTAGGAGTGGGGCCTATGGGAATGAAAGACGGGCAGGTTGTAAATAAAATCCAGATTGGGACTTAATGGCTGAGGAGCCGAGGGCATCAAACAACCCTGCTCCACCTTGGGCCTACAGAGAAGTGCTCAAGACCTACAACGTGGCCATGGACTACCCCACCCTCTTCCTGGCGGTCTGGAACTTCGGGGCAGTAGGCATGGTGTGCATCCACTGGAAGGGGCCGCTGGTGCTGCAGCAGGCCTACCTCATCGTCATCAGCGCGCTCATGGCCCTGGTGTTCATCAAGTACCTGCCGGAGTGGTCTGCCTGGGTCATCTTGGGTGCCATCTCCGTGTATGGTAGGTAGCTCGGGCTTGGTGGGAACCTGCGTGAATCTGCCTCACTGATGCAGTAGTGCCTTAGTTACCCTTTCGTCACTGTGACCAAGATAATTGATGGAATCAGCGTAAGGGGAGAAAGATTTATTTTGGCTCACAGTGATGGAGGGTGTTCAGTTCATCACAGGAAGGGAGGCAAGGGGGCGTGGCTCACAGTTTCGGAGGGGTCCATCCATCATAGGAGGGGAGGCAAGGGGGGCATGGCTTACTAGGAGCATGTGACAGAGGCTTCTTGCAGTGGACCAGGAAGGGGGAGCTTGGGGGAACCAGGGCCTGGGTCTAACTTTCAAAAGGCCACCTCTAGTGATCTGTATTCCTTAGCTAGCTTCCACCTTCTGAAGAGTCCAAAGTCTCCTAACATAGTGTCACCAGGTGGAGATGAAGCCCTCAAAACATGAGTCTCTAGCAGACATTTCCCATTCCAATGCTAACAGGCGAGAAGGCACGCAGTGCACCCTCCTCCTGACCTGAGAAGGCTTTCCCACAGACGTTCTGTTTGTTTGTTTGTAGTTTTGGAGCCTGGAACTCACTTTGTAACCCAGGCTGGCCTTGAACCCACAGAAATCCACCTGCCTCTGCCACCTGAGTACTGGGATTAAAGGTGAGCATCACACCACCACCACCTGGCTTAGACTCTTCCTTTGTGATGCTTGGGGCACACACCGCAAAGTGACCACTCTTACTGCCTGCTCCAGCCAATGTGCCCATCAAGCGTGGGTGTGCAGGAGTCACTGATGCCTCGGATGAGTCTGAGTGCACGGTGCCTGCTGCCTATTGCGACCTTCGCTGCTCACTGCTGTTTAAGTAGCATTAGGACCAGGCCAGCATTACAACGTGCATTTTAAGGATTAAAAATTTTGAGACACAGGGAAGTAGGACTTCCAAGGTCATTCTCTTGGTCTCAGCACCTAGCTCTGCCTACTCTGTGGTTACCTGCTTTGGCTCCAGCCAGTGCAAACTCTAGATTGGTGGGCTTGGGACACCAGTCCAGCAGCATGGTGTGCCCTGAAGCTCCTTTAGGCTCCTGGTAATGGAGGGGTGGCTCTTTTTGCACTGCTTGTGAATAAAGGTCCCCTTTGATATGACAAGGATATCTCTGTTTTCCCAGATCTCGTGGCTGTGCTATGCCCCAAGGGGCCACTGAGGATGCTGGTGGAAACTGCCCAGGAAAGAAATGAGCCCATATTTCCTGCCCTGATATACTCATGTGAGTGGTCCCATGCCTCTGCTAGACTGGGGGGGGTCAGCAGGTAGCCTTTTGTGGAGACATGATAGTTGGCCATGGTTTTGATAGTTGACAGGATATGTACTCCATCTCGAAAGGCGAGGATCAAGTCATGATAACACTGTGAGGGTCACCACCTGCAGGAGGGTTCTACTTCTAGCCCTGGTGGGCTGAGTCTTGCCCAGGAAGAGGTCTGGAAATCTGGGTAGGAAGGCGGTTACGAGGAGGGTGTGGACAGTTCTGTTCACCATCTGACAGCCTACACTGGGTATAGCCCACATCCCCATGAACCTGCTGCTTTTAGAGCCGTGTAACCACCACTGAGTCCTGCAGACTTTGAAGGGCAGGGGCCCCTGGTTTTCTCTGGGGTTCATAGGCAGCAGCTTGGCAGTGGAAGTTGGTCATCTCTGAAGGGAGACCCAGGGCATCTAGCCTTGGGGTCATGTCAGAGGATGTGGGTTTATATATTATATATCTATTTAACCGAAGTCACCACTTTATATTGAGTCCCTACTTACTGGTAGGCCCTGTGTGTGACATAGAGGTCTTGCAGGAAGCAAGATTATGTAAACTGGGATTCATTGAGTTCTCGCCCTGTGTGGGCAGCAGCCTCTCTGTTGATAGTGGGGCTATCTAAATAAAGAGCCTGCGATTCTGGGTTATGATGCCTCAGGTACCCAGGAAATCATCCGCAGATCTGGGTCATCATAATGAACGAGAAGTCAAGCTTAGAATGGAGAATTGCCAGCAGCATGGCCCTGAGCTAGAAAGCACATCCCAGGATGCTCTAAGGATGAGGACGGATGGTTCTGGTTAGTCTGAGTGCCTGAGGCCGGGCATCCCCTGTGTGCAAAGGAGATTCCTTGTCCACGGAAAATTCATTCACGGGTGGAGACAAACTAAGGAGGTAGATACATGTAAGCCAGGAGGTAGCAAATTCTCTGTTGAAGACTAGAGCAGGGCAAGGGACCGAGGACCTCAGGGCCATAGGGGAGGCCATTTTGCAAAAGATGGCCAGGGAACCCTCATTCATAGGTCACGTGTGGCCAGAGCCCTGACTCAGGTAGGGGATAGCACTAGGTGGAAGTCTGGAGGTCAGCACTTGGGGTAAGGGGGACAGCCACAGATACAAAGACCCTGAGGTAGGTCTGGGGTGGCTGTGCTCAGGGAGCACCCAGAGTCCAGTGTGGCTAGAGAAGATGGGGGGAGAGAACGGTGGTGGTGGTGGTCCTGACAGTGTGAGCCCTACAGAGAGAGAGCACTGTGACACATTGGCCCTCCTTCCTGGACACGATCACACTGCCTACTAAGTGGAGAGCAGAATGCGCTCGGCAGCCGCGTGGTCCAGCGTCAGATGAAGAGCAAACAGGGCTTATAGACGGGACCAGTAGAGACTGTGGGGTGAATGAAGCACATTCTGGGACATTTTGCAAGCCCGACTCACCAGGGTCACAAGGCGGAGTCAAAGTTAATGGCGGTGCTTTGTGTCCCAGCAACAAGGAAGACCCACAGCCTTTTGCAGGCAGGTCGCCCGGGTGCTGGGGGTGCTGAGTCTGGGCTTCGTGCTGCACCGAGTGTGAAATTCTCACTGGGGAAGCAGAAACATGGAGTAATAAACTCTGAAGGGAGTCACAGGTCAGCCTGTACCATGTGATGCAGCAATTTCCATGGTGACCATGTACCCAAGGGGATCAAGAACAGGCACTCAAACAGGTGTTTGTACATTGTGTCCCTATCAGTGTCACTCATGGTAGTTCAGAGCTAGAAGTATCCATTCATCAGAGGATGAATGGACGGCCAAAATATGGTGTCCCCGTACGATGGAGTATTACTCTTCCTTTACAAAAGAAGATTCTGACCGAGATGGTGATGTGGATGGATTGGGGACACTGGGGTGAGAGACCTGCACCAGTGACAGGACAGGCACCGAATGATTCCATGTCCTATCAAGAGTAGGCAAAATTATAGACACGTAATAGAGTGAGAGGTAACACAGGGGCCTGAGGAAAGGGGGGGGGGCGTCTAGTGGGCACAGAGTTTCGGCCCTGTAAGATGAAAAGAGCAGGGTTAGTTTTACAGATCTGAATACAGAGTGCCACTGAGGCCCAGACGTTGCATTTTAACATGTTTATTTTGTGTGTGCATGTGTGTCTGTGTGAGCCATGAATACACCCCGTGTACACGGAGGCCAGAAAGGAAACGTAGCTTCCTCGGAGCTGGAATCAGGGGTGTTTACAAGACCACGAGCCTGTTAAAGGAACTGAGCGTGAGCTCTGCTTCTCACGATCGTACAGCAGGTTCTCCTAACCATGGAGCCAGCTCTTCAGCCTCAGGACTAAAGTTTTAAAAATTGTTTTTTTAAAAGATTTGTCTTTATTTTATTTATTTATTTGTATATGAGTGTTTGGTCTGCATGGGTATCTGTATATCACATACATGCAGTACCGATGAAGGCCAGAAGAGGGGATCCCCTGGCACTGAAGTTACAGATACTTGTGAACTGGCATGTGGGTGCTGGGAAAGGAAGCCAGGATCTCTGCAGGAGCAATATGTGTTTTTAACCACTGAGTCATCTCTCCAGCCCCTCGTGGTTGTGAGTGTGTGTGTGTGTGTGTGTGTGTGTATGTGTGTTAAAAAAAAAGTCAATTTAGGTTCTAGCTCCAGAAGCAAGAATCCCGACGGACAGGCTTTCCGAAGGTTTCTTCTGTTGTTTGGCAAAGGATTGGCTGAAGGAGGGTGGCTGAAACTGCAGCCAAAGGCGGCATTGTGCATTCAGAAAAATCTCCAGGAAGAGTTTTGCAAGTTGCAGTAGTATCGGTCTCTAAAGGGAAGGGTGGAGGGATTGGGCCATTTCGTGTGAATGCTGGAGACGAGGTCACTCCCAGAACACGGAGGCCACAGCAGTTCTGGACCGCAAGGATTAGTTCTCATTTAGAGATGGTGGCATTCTTGGAAAGTCTGTGGATTGAAATCACTGTTGAAATGGCGCCCCAAGAAACTGCCTGTTCCACTGCCGTTCTGAGCTGTTTCACCGTGTAAATAATTACCATGTCTGCCTTCTCGTGATAAATGAAACCAAAAATAAGATAAAAGGCAATTTTTAAAAAGACACAGCCAGCAGGCTGCCCATTGGGCATTGTTATTGTTGCCATTGTTATCTGAGAGGCGGGCCAGAGGACAAAGGTGAACTGTCCATCATCCCCTCCCAGCCAGTGACCCTGGGCTTCTGACCCTCCCCCCCCCTCCCAGCTTCTATCAGCCAAGCCTGAGCACCCTGCAGGATGAAGGGGCTGTGCAGCCTTCTGGGGACTTGGACTGGCTCTGCTTTCCCCAGGTCCTGACACATGTCCCTTTGCTCTTTCTGTAGCTGCCATGGTATGGACTGTGGGCATGGCAAAGCCGGATCCCTCCTCTCAGGGAGCATTGCAACTCCCCTATGACCCGGAGATGGGTGAGTAGAGGGCTCACAGTCTTGTCTCAGGGGCGATCCTCATCTGCACCCCGCTTGGCCCGGCCCCTCTGTGGGTTAAGGTTCAGAACGGCAGTCACACTGTCTAATAGCCACCTGACTCAGAGAGTAAGTGACAGTTGGGCTGTCCACCCTTCGCCCAGCCTTCACCTCAGTCTTCCTGGATGTTGTTGGGGGGTGATGGCGGGGAACCTCGAGATGGGAGGGTACTGGGGAATCTTCTGGATTTTTGTACCTTCTGACCAGCCTTCGTTTCTCCCTGCCATGCCCCACCGTGTGTGATGACGGTGGTCCTTTCTTCTCGGATGCTCAGAAGAAGACTCCTATGATAGTTTTGGGGAGCCCTCATACCCTGAAGCCTTTGAAGCCCCCCTTCCTGGTTACCCAGGGGAAGAGCTGGAAGAAGAAGAGGAAAGTAAGGTGCCCGAGTTCAGATGGCCTGCTTCACAGGGCAGCAGGGCTGGGGGCCTCCTCAAGTCTCCTGTCAGCATCCATGTTCTAGAGGGTGGTGGCATTAAACCTACTTAAAAATACCTGTAGTCAGGTTCCACGCTAAACAACACAGCCGCCTGCAGCCCCGGCAGTCAGCAACTGTCCCGTTCTCCTTTCTCTTCTAACCAAGTGGCTCGCCTAAATTCCAGCCTTCTGCCTAGGTTGCCAGGCACTCAGTCCTAGCCCCTGCCCCCATTTTTTCCTAGGTAATCCATCTTGCACCTAGTCTTCAGTACTGCTACTGAGGGATACGTTCGTCTTGCCCCTTGACCCTCTTGCTGGGTCCCTTGACTTGTGGGTTTTTTTTTTTTTTTTTTTTTTTTGGTTGGTTGGTTTGTTTGTTTTCCTGCTTCCTGCTAAAGTCTCTCATCAGTAGGATTAGACAGGGGCCTCTTTCTTTCCTCCTTATAGGGGGTGTGAAGCTTGGCCTGGGAGACTTCATCTTCTACAGTGTCCTGGTGGGCAAGGCGGCAGCCACCGGCAATGGAGACTGGAACACCACACTGGCCTGCTTCATCGCCATCCTCATTGTGAGTGGGCTGCATGGTGGAGGAGGGGGCTCATCACCTGGGGTCCTCAGAGGGCATTTACAGCTGCTGTCTTCCCTCTGAGGGGCAAAGGCAGTGAGGGGATAACTGCCAAACCCAGACTGTGGTCACCAAGACATGGTCACCTGGAGAGAGCACCTGGAGAGGCGTGAGAGGCATTGACCGCAATGACCACATGTACCTCACTGCTAGGGTTTTGGTGAAAGCCTCAGGGCCCGGTCCCTTAGTCCCTGGACTGTCTGAGATATATGGGGGATGTCATAGCTGAAGGCCTTTACCTGTGGGGACAGCTACAGAGGCGTGTAAACGGATGCCCCTCCCATCCACAGTTACCCATTCTCTGTGCCACCAGGACCCCACAGAATGCTGAATCCTGGGTTCTCTAGCCCCAGCAGTAGTGCAGTCTGGAGGCTCTGATGGCTGATACTCAAGCTAGGGGACATATCCTGCAATGTTATCTTAGAGCATGCTTCCTTTTAGATGTTGGGAGAGTCCCCAGGAGGGCTGTCACCCCTTGTGTTGCCCTGGGGTGGAAACCCTGGGTGTGGCCACAGAGAGCACGGTTAAAGCTGGCGCTCTTTCCAGTGCCCTGAAGAGCTTGTTTGTGCCCACACGGAATAACAGACTCCAGGCTCCTCCCCTACCATACTGTCTGGCTTGGGACCTGTTGTCCCATGGACTGGACGGGTATTTTTGGTGCCTTGTCCTCACCCTGGAGACCAAGGGTGGAGGTAGAAAGGGTCACCCCAGCTTCAAAGGGCTGGATTACGTGGTATCCATGGTTTCCTTGGTGTCTGCTGCTGAGCACCTTTGTAGGATTTCGTTTGCGCTCGCTCATCTGGGTCTCTTGTGAATGCACATTCCTTAGAGAAACTCTCTTGCCATCCCATGTGACTGCTGTCCCCAGATGGAGAAGCCACATGGCCTGACCTTAGCCAGCACATAGGTGTCCTGACTAAGGGGTGTGTGTGAGAGAGGACCCTGCCCTATGCACCTTGAGGGGCTAGTGCATATCTGGAAAGGACAGTTGCATGCCTGTTGCCGTGCAGGCTAGCCTCAGGGACAGCACCACACACCATGGCAGAGTCACCGCCTTCTCTCCCCTGGATGCCCTGCAGGGTTTGTGTCTGACTCTCCTGCTGCTTGCTGTGTTCAAGAAGGCCCTGCCCGCCCTCCCCATCTCCATCACCTTCGGGCTCATCTTCTACTTCTCCACGGACAACCTGGTGCGTCCTTTCATGGACACTCTGGCTTCTCACCAGCTCTACATCTGACTGGAGACAGGCGTGGCCCTGCGGACTGTAAGAAGCGTCTCTGGATGCAGGTGTATAGTTTTCCACTCTAGTGCCATATATTTTTTAAAAAAGCAACTTTCCTTTCCTTACAAAAAAAAAAAAAAAGAATTAAAAAAAAAGTGTCGTGTTTACTTCGTGACAAAGAGCATAGAAGGTGCTCTTTGGTGACAGGACTGTGGCCTGTCACCAGACTGTGGCTTTCCTGCTGGGACATCCGTGGCCCCAGTGGGATGCTTGGCACGTTTATCTTCAGGGATGAGGTCACATGTGCAGAGCAGGTTGGGGAGGATGCAGGCCCCATGCAGGTCTGTTATCCTCTGGAGTTGAACAGAAGGACCATGTGCAAATCAGTGGGGACCAGGAGACATGGTCAGGAAGGACACTAAGTGCCATCACTCTGACCAGAGGCGAAAGAGCCAGTTTGCAGTCATGGATGTCCCCAGTGCTTTGTTTGTGATGTCTGTTACTTTAGTCCCTTTAGAAGCTGAGTCCTGTTCTTATGACAGTAGTGACTGCAGGAGGTGGCCTAGTATCAATTCCAATAAATAGATGCTCCTGTTGTAATGTCGGGTGTTTGGTCCCTCTGTTAACATGGCCCCTTCCTTGCATCCTGGGGCTCTCCGGAGGGGAGGTGATGCGCACTGTGTACCGGGGAGGGAGGGATTTAACCCGTTATCGGGGGAATCGGGGAGAGAGGTTTAATTGCCTTGACCCTCTGCACTCAGTTCTTTAGAAAGTTCCACAGCACAGCGTTGGGAGGCACTGGGACAGAAGCCTGCCAGGACCCCACAGAGCCCTGACCTTGGCAGGTTGTATGTGGCCACAGAAATGTAGCAAGGGAGCTGCTAAGATGCTGAGTGGTTCCTTTGACAGCTGTCCGTTCTCAGGGGCCGGCAAGCCCTGAACCAGGGGGCCACCTGAGCTCAGAGAGTCACTCCCAGTCCCTGCCCATGGTGAAAGGCAGGCCAGCTTTGCCCTTCCTCGGCCTGGCACAGGTTGCAGAGTCTCGGAAGTGCCTCTGGGTGGGGCCGTGAGGCTACAAAAGAAGCTACTGACTAGGCTGCTGCCCTGCTGGGGCTGTGGAGAAAACCCAGGTGTTGCTAGCTCTGTCCTTTGCTCCAGAGGGAACCCCGTGGACTGCTGATTAGTGGAAGAGGGATGAGGTGTGTGTGTGTGTGTGTGTGTGTGTGTGTGTGTGTGTGTGTGTGTGTGTGTGTGTGTGTGTGTGTGTGTGTGTGTGTGTGTGTGTGTGTGTGTGTGTGTTGGGGTTTGATGGGAGATTTCTTCCCCCTGAGCTACTTGCTGAGACAGAGCAGAGATCTAAGACCAGCAGAGGCTGCTTGCTGTCGCGATGGGAGGTGGTTGGAAGCTGGGGCATGGCTGAGACTGAGACAGAGCGGAGCCTGAGAGACCAGGGAACAGTCACGGAGCTCATCCCTGGTGGGAAAAGCTCCCAGGGGCTGGAGGAAAAAGCCGAAAAGTTCATTACATCTATCAGTTAAGGAAATGTTTATCTTCCACAGAGTGTCTCTGGGGTGGAAGTCTAAGGAGAAAATTAGCAGCTTAAAGAGATAGCCTGGGGTGCTGGGGACAAGGCCACAAGCAAAGGTAAAAGTGGAAGTAGAGGTGTGTCCCCACCACCAAGTAAACACGCTGACACCAAGGGAGTGAGACTCTCTCTGCCCCTAAAGGGCCCAGTGCTTCCTGTGAGGAAAGTGAGGAATAGTGGAGAGAAAGGAAAGCTCCTGGAATAGATTCAACCTGATGTCCTCCCAGCAGGACCCAGCACCCTGCCGGAAAAGAAAGCAGGATAGATTCCAACATTCCGAAAGGGATGGTCTGCAAACCCTATACCTGCTCCCACGGAGCCAGTGAGCTAACAGCTTCCTTATTTGTCTCAGAAATAAAACTTCAGGGTTCTGAAGTGCTTTTTAAAAATGATACATGGGGCTGGCAAGATAGCACAATGGTTACGGGCGTCGGCTGCTCTTCCAGAGGACCCAAGTTCAAGTCTCAGCACCCATATGGCAGCTAACTGTAGGACCCAGCCATGACAAGCTCAATAGAGGCCTGAGTCTCAATAGTTTACCCTGGTTCCAAGAAAGACCACAAACTTGTGTAGAATAAAGGCTCTTTGCTTTTACATACAGGATTTGGTCTCCTTAGTTTTTTGGGGGGATTCTGTGATCTGGGCATAACACTAACAACTGTAAGTCAAAGATCTGGCACCTTCACACACAGACACACACACACACACACACACACACACACACACACCAGGCAAAACACCAATGCACATAGAATAAAAGTAAATAAGTTATTTTAAAAATGATATATCAATCCTATTGCTTGTCCCTATCCTTGGGTAAATTTTTTCGTTTTTTAAAAATTCTTTGACAATTTCATACATAATATACTTTAATCATCTTCTCTTCTTACTATCCTCTTGTTCCTTCCCCTCCCACAAGAATCCTTCTTCCCACCAAGTCCCCCTCTTAAATTCATGCCTGGTACTATCCTCTGCTTGAGGCTCGCTGTGTTTAATTAGGGCTGGGGCATGAGTATGGGTGAGGGGTGGTTTACCTGAGTAAGGGCAAATTACTGGTGGCTACAGGGCTGTGACTCCTCCACAGCAACTATGAGGTGCTGGTAACTCCTCAGGGAGGGGTGATGATGTGGGAGTCCCCTCTGTATGCTGTGAATACCATTGGTTAATAAAGAAGCTGGCTTGGCCTGATAGGGTAGAGTAGAGCTAGGCTGGGCAAACTAAACTGGATGCTGGTAGAAAGGAGGCAGAGGCAGAGAGAAGCCATGGAATTCCACTGTATCAGTCCCAGAGTTTTGAACATCAGACTTGATGGCAATGGTCTTTATGGACTGAGTCATCTTGCTTGTCCCTACCTGTACTTTGTTGTACATCATGATACCTGGCTGGAAACGTATTGCAAACTGTCTTATGTGACTGTGGCTGACCCTGCTATCCTCCCTGAGGGGACTTTTGCTATACCAAACTAGTTTTAAAATGTGCATTGCTTAATGTCTCTTTTGCTTTGGGTTTTTGTGCCTTTGAATCTTATAAAATCTTCCTGCAGCCTCAAGAGTTTTCTAAAGTGTAGCATTTTTCTTTGGATGGTGTGATTTTGAATTCCTCTGAGATTTTTATGGTTGTGTTTAGGAGGGAGCTAATGGGTTTTCTGGCTCTGTAACCAGGTGTCCTGTGTATTGCGGAACTCTCTTAATATAGGCCACGTTTCCATGAGCAGGCGATGGACTCCTGGACTCTGCTCTGTCCCCTGGCACTGGGTCTCCCAGACCAGGGTCTGCCAGGTGGGTGAAGCCACAGGACTCTAGTGAAGAGAGAAGATGGCGTTCCTGAGGGCACCCAACACCAGGACCTTGAGGCAGAGGGAGGTCAATCCAGAACGGTACCCAGCCTCCCTGGTTGCCCTCCTGAGCTTTCTAATCATCTTTAGCCCCCTACGAAAGAAAAGGCCGTTTCCAGACTGGTATTTACTCACAGTCTGTGGCATCCTTTCCTGCCTTGAAGCTTTCTTTTTGAATAGACTTAAAACCCTGCTAAACCCATTTCTGTTTTTATTTAGAAATCAGCCCCCTCCCTATTCTTTCTTTGACCATTTTCTACTTTTATTTTAAATATGGGTTTTTTTTGGGGGGGTCTGCTCTTTTCCCCCATCTCTGTTGACTCTGTCACCCAGTGTGATTGGTCCATGCACATGACTTCTGCCTGTTTCTCACCTCCCTCAGTTTCTGTTCTTGCTGTCCGGAGTGCCAGTGTTATGTTACTCACTGCCTCAGCCCCCAGCACTGCGGGAATCTGACTCAGCTCCAGCCACTGAGGGCTAAGCAGATGTCCGGGGGGTGGGGGGGGTGAGTCCTGAGAAGCTGTTTTCTTGATGTAAAAGGGGGTAGGTAAGAGCCACCCTGGATGGTGATCTGCCTTAAGCCTTCTTGTTTGGAGCTGTCAGGGCCTCTCTGTGACTGGGAAGACAAAAAGCCTCCAACAAAGTGTGCATACGGAGAAGGGAATTACAAGGAGTCTGGGAACTTAGTGACTTCCTTGAGCAGCTGCCCTAGCTTCCTACAGCCTTGTTACATTATTAAAAAAAAAATGGTTCTCTGTCTAAACCGTTATCGTGTTTCTAGGACATAAAGTCAGATGCAACCCTGATCTAATTTCCAAGTGTGTTTCTATGTCAGATGTTCCTGCTCACACCTTGCTCTTCTTCCTCAGTATCCCCAGCTCCCTTCTCCTCCTTCCACCTAACACCCCGATATGCTCCACTAGTGTTCACCACCCCAAAGTGCTGGTCTAGCAGATTGCCCACACGCTTATCAAACAGATTTATTTATTTATTTAGAAAAAGCCGTGATAAGACACATCAGCTCAGGTACACAGGAGAGAAACATAGGAAAGGTCCGCGACTATGTGCTGGGCAGGCTTTTGATGCGTCCTCATGAACGTGAACTTCGTCTCCTAAACGAGGAACTTCTCATGTACCCCAGCAGACAGGGCATTATAGATACACATTACCTTTGGGGGTTCGTCTCCAGCATCCCTACTCCTGATAGCAGATCCTTCCTTCAGTTGGTTAGGAGGAATGGAGCCATGTAGATGACCTTGTGACATCCGCTAAACATAAACTGTTTATCACCCCAACTATCTTTTAAGAAAAATGAGCCCTGTTTGGCTTCTGTTGACACAGGGTCTGGCCAGGCAGTGGGAGCTGAATGGGCTGCAGAATAATTTTTAGAGAAGAATCTGCTATGACCTCAGTAGAGAAGAAAGACAATGCTCTTTGTTGTCAAGTTTTGCCTCAACTTAATACAAGCTAGAAGGGAACCTCAACTGAGAAAATGCCTCCACAAGATCCGGCTGTAAGGCATTTTCTTGATTAATGACTGATGGGGAAGGGCCCAGCCCAATCTTGGTGGTGTCGTCCCTGGGAAGATGGTCCTGAGTTCTATAAGAAAGCGGACTAAGCAAGTCATGTGAAGGAAACCAGTAGGCAGCACCCCTCCATGGCCTCTGCCTAAGTTCCTGCCTCCCGGGTCCTGCCGTGTTTGAGTTCCTGCCCTGGCTTCCTTCAGTGATGCACTGCAGTGTGGAGTAT